ATCACTGGGGAACGGTATCGAATTCAATTGATACGATTGAGCCGAGCACTGCGCGAAAAACGGCCACAATACGAGCAGAGGCATGAAAAAGTGATTCTACTGCATGACAACGCTCGGCCTCATGTTGCCAAACCCGTTGAAACCTACTTGGAAACGCTCAAATGGGAAGTCCTACCCCACCCGCCATATTCCCCAGATATTGCGCCGTCCGACTATTACTTGTTCCGTTCGATGGTACATGGTCTGGCTGATCAGCAGTTCCGCTCGTATGAAGACATCAAAAAATGGCTTGATTCGTATCGGATAGCCTCACAAGACGAACGCTTTTACCGTAACGGTATTCGAGCTCTGCCAGAAAAATGGGAAAAAGTTGTACCTAGCGATGGGCAATACTTTGAATGATTCATTTGTAACCATTTTTTCACAATAAAGTTGCATTTTCATAAAAGAAAACAGCGAGAACTTAGTTGCGCACCTTATATATATACATAAAGAGAGAGGAAAAATTATGAAAATCTATATTCAAAATATTATTAAAATATAGAAATATCTAAATACCTAAATATTTTCCATAATATTTATTGTAAACAAAAAATTAATATTTTGTAAATATTTCTATAAATATTGCACATGAAAAAAATAAATATAATTATTTATAATTGTTAAATTAATAAATAAATAAGAAAGTCAAAATTTAAATTGGTAATGTACATTAGAAAAAAATTCTTTAAATGAAAGAAATATATTTTGTTACATATAATTTCTTAACTTAAAAAAATATTTGTTAAATTTTAGAAAATATATTATTATATATTATTATATATATTATTATATATTTATTAATATAAAGAAATATTTTTTTAAAAGAAATATTTTGCAGTATTTCTTAATATATTTCTATAAGGGTATATTACAGTACTATTAATGTGATGCGTTTTCGCGGACATTATAATATTACTGTGATATCTCAGTAATATTACAGTAATATTTCTGCTATATTTCATTATAATATTGCAATGGAAATGTGATATAACTGTAATATTACATGCTATGTGGGTAGTAATTGTATTACAATTAAAAATAATTATAACTTTTAAAAAATGATATTTATACAAAGTGTTCTTGAATAAAATTGCCCAACTTGAAATATGAAAGAGGGTATAACCTTTATTTATAAAAGAAATCATTATATATAAATTATAATAAAAGCTCAGCTAAAAGATATTTAAGAAAATATTATTAAAACAAACTTATTCGGATCAGTTGTACTCTTGCAAATACACTGTTGAAAAATACAAGACAATTTTATACTCTCTATAAAAATAATGATATCAAGAGATTTACACCAAGTGCGAATGATTAATCATTTCAGTTTTTACCCTTATAACCCTTATAGAAATATCATACTAAGATCTATACAAATATATTGTATAGTCAAAACCACATATGTTTCCCTTATAGAAATATCATACTAAGAATCATTGATAATTACTTATTATTCAGTATTTTTAATATTGAAAATAAGTAATTATCAATGATTCTTAGTATGATATTTCTATAAGGGAAACATATGTGGTTTTGACTATACAATATATTTGTAACGATCCATCCGATCACACATTAACGAACATAGGCAAAGCTAACGGCTTGCTACGAAAATATAATACGCGACCAACAAATGTAAACACCGCCGACCTACCACGAGAATCAATAACACCGAAGCACACCAAAATCGTTGTATAAAGGCTCATCTACACTACAAGGCGTAAGACGGCGTAAGACGACGTAAAGGCGTCGCAGGCACAGGCGAAAGAGACTGTTCGTGATTGTAGCAGCGCGGCACAGTGGCGCAATGGAAATAAATTATTTATTAATAATTATTTTTATAATAATATTTTTATAATAATTATTTTATAATAATTATTAATTAATTATTTTTATTTCCAACGCCTGCGCTTGCGTTACGCCGGCTGTTTTCGCAGTTTAGGCTGGGTTTTCAAAGGTTATATTATACATGGGTTGCGTTCCGTTTCACGCATTATGCGCGCATTGCCTACAATATATGTAACATGAACTATAGATAAATGCGCGCAATGCGTGAAACGGAACGCAGCCATGGTTAGGTCACTCACGCACTACCGGCTTTTCTGTTTCAAAGAAGTGTAAACATTGAAAACATGAGTGAGGAAGACTATTATAATGAGGACGAAGGTAATGAATCAATAGGGAATAACGTATCAGAAGAACGTGAGATATATATTCGTACATTCATTCACTTCGTGTACCCCAATACACAATTATATATAAAAAAAAGCAAAGGCTATAGCAAGTGCCAATATAAATCCCTCACTTGGGCAAGTGTAGGAGCAGCGATGACTCCAAAAATCACTGGTAAATAAATTTGAATTATATGTACAGATTAGGTTAATATAAAGAATAGATTTTTAAAGATTAATTTATATTTATATTTAAAATATTAACAAATATTTAATGTTAATAATATAGCATTGATTAAATATTTATGAAAATAAATTTACAGTTATTTCAATGTAAATAAATTATAGAAAAATAACAATTACACAGTCTGATTTTATTACATTTTCAGGTCTGCAAGCAGAAAAACTTTTCCATCGTCTCCATGAAAAGTTTGGAAAGGAAAGAAAAAAGATCATAATGTCCATGCCAAGATCAGGAGCAGGGGCTGGCATGCCTACCTACCAGTCTACTTGGATCTTTTATAATGATCTTCTGTTCCTTGCGGATCATATTATAGCCAGACAGTATGTATCATTTATATTAATTAAACCTAATCAGAAGTTAAATGGTGTATGACTTTTTACAGAACTTCAAATTTTCAACCACCTGTTGTCCGACCTCAGTCCTCAGTTGTTCAATCTCAGTTATCTGCTGTTCAAGGTAAGCAATAATCTCTTGTTTTAGTTTGTTTTTATCTGCATCACCAAATCAGCAAAATTATTCTCTTTGCATTTTCTATTTTATTAGGCAAACAATCACTTCACGTTCCATTAGACAAACAATCTCCACTTTCGCCTATGTCGAACCCAGACTTCAATTACTTATGCTCATCTCCTTCATGCAGTAAGTCTTTCAAAATTTTTTTTCAACTAAATATTACTTTTAACTCCATAATGAAATTTCATAGAAGATGGTTGTTTACTGTGATAGGTTCGGACTCAGATAAAACTAATACAACTGGAACCAACATATCCTATGAGACAGAAGGAAAGGAATATGCAATTGAGGAAGCATCAGAAAGTACCGCCTCAACAGCAATTCTAAAAACCATGACAGCCTCTATTCAGCCGGCCAAAACAGTACCTCCAAAGGATCCTATCAAAAAGAGGAAGCGGGATTCTGAGAAGACAAATGACGTACTTTCTCAATCATCAAAAGATGTTTCATTTCTGGCTGCATCTCTGGGTGCAGCCCTTGAAAGGTTTGGACCATTACAGCCAGTGCAGCCAGCATCCTGTCCTGGTCGCCCCAATATGTCATCAGATATAGAAGCAATGTTAGGTTTTGTAGCTGTTGCACTTAGCAGTGTACCTGAGGAAAAACGAGTGTCATGTGTCATGGATATGGTAGCAGTTGTGAAAGGATACACTAAAAAACATTCAGGGGACTATGAATCTGAAACTTCTTGTGAAACTCCTGTGTTGATTACTAAATGTATGAACGTTGGTTCAATGCAAATGTGATAGCCAAATACTAAATTTAATTTTCTTTTGTTTAGTTATTCCATATGTAATAGTTATTCCATAGTAATATTTTATTTTTGCTACAGGTACCAAAATATTTATTTTTATGTTCATTGAAGATTTTTGTTTATTTTAATTTGTTTAGCAAGAAGAAAACTGGTTTTTCCCTTAATTTTATTTTCTGTGATAAATATCGAAGTATGTTCTTTTACTTATATTAATTGAGGATTCAGTTTTAAGTTTAAATATATTAAGGAGTGTAAACATTTTTTATTTTGTTGAATGTAAAGATGTATATTTAATATCTCATTTTGCAACGCTGAGCAATACTTTTGTTTAATTAAATTTTTCCTTTTATGAAAATACATCGATTGAGTGTATATTTAACGATATTTAAATAGATTAAACTAAATTTATCGAATAAAATAACGAGTATAAATTTTATATAAAGGAAATATAGAAACGAAGGAGTGAAAAATGTTATCTATGCTATCAATATTTTCTAATACAGTAATTTTTAATAAATAAAAACAATATCACAATTTAAGAAATTTTAATTTTTGTGTCTCCTTTATTAACGTTTTTTTTTTACAGAAATTACCCATTACTTACTATACTTGGTAATCCTAATTCTTTTCTTTTTTATTTCTTTATATATATCAGCTGACTGAGGACGAAATAACTAAAAGGGATTATCATTATAAAATATAAATTCTTCATGTTACTTCGTAATGATTCCATTCGTCGATTCTTGACAATCCACTTTCTCACTCGGTTTTATTATCTAACTGCTCAGTTGAATGCCTTTGAAATTTTCCTTTTCCAAGAACTTGAATTTACTGCGGTAAATTCAAACGGGTACCTCGAAATGCTCGCTCAAATTGCCAGGGTGCCTGAGTAGTACCTATGTCTGAGGCTAGGTATTCAGCAAGGTGTTGTCTCATACCATTCACTATCGAAGCTGCCCTATTGGCTCCTACTTTACCAAGTCTTTGAAAGTAATTTTCAGTCACTTGAGTATTTGTCCAAGCTCCTGACTGAATATTGCCATCCTGTAGCTCCAACTCCAGTTGTACAGGGTTTATGTAATCATTAGCTTCATTGTCCATTAACATGTGCAGACACACCAAGGCTTTGATAATATCTTCGCCTTTCTCTACAGAACACACTAGAAGTGAATTCAAAACTTGCCACCACATAGTCAGTATGCCAAAAGCATTTTCTGATACACGCCGTGCTCGAGCTAGGCGGTAATTAAAAATTCGCTGCTCATCTGGCAACACTTGATGCATCCTTCCAGGAAAGGGACGCATAAGATACTTCTTTAACGGGAAAGCTTCATCACCCACAAGGAAGTGTGGGAAGACGACGTCAGTTCCAGGAAGAGGTTTGTCCAGTGGTAGGTCAACTTCGCCATGATCCAAAGCTTGTCCAAAATCTGAATTTGACCAAACTCCACCATCACTTATGGATCCTAAAACATACATAATGCACAGATATAATTGCAACCAGATCCTTTAAAATTGACATTTGATATTTTAAGTAGTGCCAATAGTAGGAAGCACACTTACCATACTGTCCAATATCTACCCAAGTAAATTTGTAATGGGCATCTACTGCCAAAAGAACAACACTAAAAAATTCTTTGTAATTGTAGAATTCACTTTCTGACATAGGTGGCGCTTTAATGCGCATATGTCTTCCATCAATAGCACCCACACAATTAGGAAGATGCCATAGATCAAAAAATTGTGCAGCAATTCCTTTAAAATCCTTCCTGGTCAGCTGAGGCAGGTAAATAGATTTCAGCTTCTCCTATATTGCCTTGTAGGTCTCTTTAATGATCTGATGTACTGTGCTCTTACCAACACGGAACTTATTATGAAGGCTTTGGACTGTTCCATCCTGAGCAAGAAACCTAGAAAGAAAGTTACGCAATATTTGAGCATACATGTAAAAACACAACAATAAAATAATTTCTTATATACAATGTTACAAAGATTGAATATGAAAGTAATTTTTTATAGTCTATACTCACATCAATGTCATTCCTAGCCTTAGTTTCGATGGCAGAGGCTTTCTCATTACAGTTGTCTGCCTTTCAAGCAATGGACATATTATGTTATGTAGAAACTCAAATTGTTCTGGCCACATTTGAAGGTTAGCAAAAAATTCTTCATGATTTGCCAACTGGGTTTCTGATATAAGATTGTGGTAGAATCCTTGCTGTTTCCTTTGTTTATTTACTGGTCGAATCCACCATCTCCTTCGTCTGTCACGTCCACAATATCTCTGAGTATTGTGTAGCTAAAGTTGATGATGGAAAAGCACAATATATATTCCGACGCACGCGAGAGTGAAAAATCTTTCCTTATCAGGTTCCATGGTACAAAAACGCTTTATTATTGCAAAGCACAGGACGACGGTGCGTCTCAGCGAAACTCTTGGTCTGTTCTTTTCAGCTGCACTGCTGAACTGGTGCCATAAGTTAAAGTGAGACAAATATATTTTATTTTAATCTAGCTTATTGTACCGGTATAGCAGTGCAATTGAAAAAAACAGACCATCTAACGTTCCTACACTTCCTACGCGTTCTTTGCGCTTGCTTCGCGCACGCGTCGCACTTTCCCATGTAGACGAGCATGGCGCAGACTTTTTGCGCTTACGCTTGAGCTTGTGTCTGCGCCCTTGCGTCGCGCTTTTACGCCTTGTCGTGTAGATGAGCCTTAAAAGACGACGTGAAAACCTCGAAAGGAAGCAGTCTTCCGAAGCACTTCGCTGACCGAAGCCAAAGCTCCGACAGCAGAAGCTTCTTTCGAACACTGCTGCCAAAAGCATCGTATCCTAGATCCTCCTCGATACCGTTCCGTCGACTCGTTGGATTTGTAGAGTCGATATCTTCGTAGACTTATTGGATACGTAAGGTCTATTATACAAAAAAAATCGTTATAAATAAGCTCGTTACAACATAAGCTCAGCCAAAAGATATTTGGAAAAATATTATTAAAACAATCTTATTCAGATCAATTGTACTTTCGTAAATATTCTATTGAAAAATAATAAACAGTTTTATATACTCTCTACAAAAGAAATTATATCAAAAGGTTACATTCGCCAAGTGCGAATGATTAATCATTTTTAAATTTTATAAACATATATGATTTTGATTATATAATATATTTATAAATTAAATATGTTATTAATATATTAGTAATATATTATTAAATAAAAAATAAAATAATTAGAAAAATACAATAATATTAAAAAAAATTATAATAACTTACTCAAAAAGCCCTTGGCGTGCTTTTTTTATAGACGGTTCTCTTATTTTAATGATACCTATACAGCAGTTAATATCAATAAAAAAAATCAACATATATTATTAGTATATTTAATAATATATTATTAAATAAAAAATAAAATAATTAGAGAAATACAATAATGTTAAAAAAATTATAACACACAAAAAAGCACTTGGCGTGCCTTTTTTGTAAGCAAACGGTTCTCTTATTGTAATCACTATCAAAATATTATATTGATTATCGATGTAATATTTAAAAAAAGGCACGCCAAGTGCTTTTTATGTAAGTTTCCTGCCGCGAATTCCCATAGGTACCCCGTATGGGACCATGAAGGTCCCATGTAGGACCGTAGTGGTCCCATGTAGGAATATAACGGTACCGTATAGGGCAAAAATGGTAATACGTGAGACCCCTATAGATCCCATAACCAGGACAATGAGTTCTGCATCGGTATGGTATGGATATAGTATGGGATCTGAGTATTGATGTACCAGGTGTAGAAGTATGAAACCGGAATTCCCCTATAAATGGTGCCAGCGTTCAGTTTAGTGACCGTAAGACCGCTACTGCCGCGCTATTATATTCTCCTAACAGCTGACGAATATTGTCAACAAACATAACCCCAACTTTCATTCTCTAGTATATTTTTGTATAACCTTAAACATGTCACGTTTCGAGCCTACTAACTATGATTTGCGGACAGCATTGATTTTCTGTTATCATTTAAAGAAAACTGCTGCAGAATCACATCGAATGCTTGTCGAAGCTTACGGTGAATATGCTCTTGGTAAATCTCAGTGTTTCGAGTGGTTTAAAAAATTCAAAAGTGGTGATTTTGACGTGAGGAACGAAGAACTATGAACTATGAACTATGAACTATGAACTGCTGAAACCTGGTCAAACCGTCAATACTAATCGCTACCAACAACAAATGATCGATTTAAATCGAACATTGACTAAAAAACGACCAGAATATGCAAAAAGGCAACACAATGTCATTTTGCTCCATGATAATGCCCCATCACATACAGCAAAACGGGTCAAGGAAACGATCGAGTCGTTCAGTTGGGAATTACTACCGCATGCGGCTTATTCTCCAGACTTGGCTCCGTCCGATTACGTCCGATTCGCATCGCTAGGACACGCTCTCGCTAACCAACGCTTCGATTCGTATGAAAATGTGGAAAAATGGCTAGATAACTGGTTCGCTTCAAAAGATGAAAAGTTTTTTTGGCACGGCATTCATAAACTGCCAGAGAGGTGGGAAAAATGTGTTCAAAACAGTGGAAATTATTTTGAATAAAGTATTATTTATCACTTTCGAACAACAGACGTCTTATTTGTATAAAAAAATTCCGGTTTCATACTTCTACACCTGGTATAAACCGGTACATACCTACGTAGATGGTACGGTAACGAGTGTCACGTAATATGATGATGACAAATCGGTTGATAAGAAATGACATCGTATTTTTTTAATGTTCACATTAAAAATACAAAATAATAAGAAGATACATATTTTTAAGTTGTTTTTAATCATTTTTTATTTGACCTTCTTGGACTCAGAAAAAAATCTAAATATCATTTTTAACGTAAAATTTTCTGCTCTTTTCGAATCCGAGGTCAAAAATATATCTAATTTAAAAAAATGACTTTGACCTTTGAATGACCTTGAAAATTGATCTGAAGGTCAAAATTATTAGCACGGTAAAATGACCTCTGTTGTTCTCTACAATTCTTGTTTTAACCATTTTTTTGTAGCTAGCGTATTTTAGGAGCAATTTGGATCCGTC